CAGCGCCATTTTTTATGAATTTTCGTGAGAATAAATTACTATGCTTCCTAAGTAGAACACAGCAAACTGTGCATTTTTATGTATGCTATATTGTATTTAGATTTTCTTCAAATTCTCTGTTATTTTTTAAACTACCGATGTCAATATCTACTGCTGTAGAATAACTACTAATTTAAATAATGTTTTAAGGCTTTTTTTCAGTTATAATAAGAACATAAATATCGATTTTAAAACGATTTTTATGAATTCGCAATTTAATCTCGTTATTTGTTCAAAAGTAATGTTTTTTTCTCCACTTTAAAACATGAAAGGTGCATTTAATATTTTTCTGGGTTGTATGGCATCTTTATTCAGGGCTAAAGAGAATAGAAGGGCTAGTTCACTCCTTTGAAGTATCTCTTGCCGCGCCGATCCTCCGACGTCACTCTAGTGACGTCACTTTGGNATACAGAATTTCATTTTTAAATATTGAAAATAAAAAAATTTGAATGCAATGTTTTTCTTTACTTCGCTATTAAAAATAACGATTATTAAAAACATAATCTTTAAACATTTTAAAGCATTTTTTTTTTGAACTAACGAGTTAAAGTTCATCTTCGCAAAAATAACCTAACAAAAAACTTCGTGATTCCTTGTTATCGGAAAAGGATGAAAAATATATATAAATAAACCTTAATATATGCATATGACATTATCAAAATATGTAAGTCTTATCACTTACAGTAAATCGCCGAAGTCGAGCATCACTAGCAGTAGTCTATGAGCTCCTCGTTGACTACTTTGATCACACTGGGAAAAGACCAAGAGCGTGCGGCATCGGTTCTTTTTAAACTGTTCTACCGTTAAGACTTCACATTCAGATCCCGGTCTACCATATCAGGAGAACCATCCCTTCCACAGAGAATAAAAATTTTGATTTCATGGTTTCGGAAAATTTTCAAGAATGTTTCCCAGGCCGTCGCCAATAGCCTATAGTGCAGTTCTAGTATTACTACAAATATCATCTCTTAAGCCGACCGGTCTGTGTAGGGGTTAGGGAACTGCCCTTGTATCAAAAAGGTTCTGGATTCGAATCCCGGGCAAGGCATCGATGTTCTTTCCTTCTCTGTACTATCTGTCCTCACTGTGGGAGCAACGTTGGCCCACCTAATATGGTGCCCCTGAAAGAGAAGCCAACAAATCTGCCCTGTAAATGCCTCTGAATTGACGGATGTTAACACAGGTGGGCATTGGGGAAAAAAATATATCATCTCTTAAAAACCCTCTAATCACAAGCGTAATATTTTTTGCTCTGAGCTAAATTTACAATCCATCAAAATGTTAAAATTATACTTTATTTTACATTATAAAACGCATTTCTCGATATTTTACAGTTCATTTTCACTTAAGGAAAAAAGCAAGTTTTCCTTTTTGTCATTATTGGAAAACAATTTTAATCCAAAACTTGACGATTTGACAAAAAAAAAAACTATGCTGGTCTGTACAGCAGTAACCTGAAACAAAAAATAAATAAATATTTCGTAGCATCTGCCGATTGAAAATTTCCGGCTGCAGGTTCTTCACCAAATTTGTTATGACGGTCAAAATATCTCCACCCTTCAATGTCCTCCATTCATTACTCTGTTTCCATTTTCGTCTTTCTTCTCTTTTTGTTATTGTTAAATGCACTCTTAAGAGAGAAGTGGAAGGAAGAAAAAAAAATCTATCAGGATGTTTAAAGTATGTGAGAATGTCCATCATCCTGCTCTGGAAACCTGGCAGATAGCCAATATGGATCGAATCCGATTTGTTTCGTTTTAGTTAAAAGAGAGTAAAAAATAAATTTTTTTCGTTTTAATGCTTTTGCTATAAATACAGTTCTATTTATGACTTATAAATCATCGTTTGATGTACAAAAAAAAAATAAGACTTGAAAACCGTAAGTTAAGAATTAAAAAAAAATATATTGTTAATTCTAATTTATTTTTATTACAATAAAATAAAAAGAAAGTTAAATTAGAATTTTTTTAACCGTCTTAAAAAGTAGGCTTAAAAATTCTTCTGAAGACGAAAACTATTTTAGTTACGTATTTTTTTTAGTCATATAATGACAGGTCATTTTTTTTAAATGAATGCATATTTACAGGTCTTTCTAAAAGAACTATAAGGTCAAAAATGGCAAAATGTCTTAAAGATACTCAGCTTTGTATAGTATACAGTTTTTAATAATCAAGAAAGCAACATCTTATAAAATAGAATATTAACAGGATGTTCCACAATGACTTCTCTTAATGCATATTATCAGAATTCTTGTCAAAGTAATTTAAGGTAATTTAAGGGTGCACAATAACAGTATCAAATTACTGTTCGAAGAGGGAAAATTAAAAGCTTTAACAAATTCTAACGAAACACTACTAAAGAAAGCGAGACTGAAAACATCAAAATATGCTTAATTTCTAGAAAAAACGAAGAAGTTGATAGGCTATTGTTAAAAAACATTCCAGTTTAATCAGCCAATCATAGTGATGAAGCTGGACTTATTTTTCACTCTCCCTTCTTCCTGAGTAATTCGACAGATATTAATGGTGTTTTTTTTCTTCCTCAGTTAAACTTTTTCCATGTGTATACTGACTGTTTCACCTTTTGATTATCAAGAATTTTGAAGATATACAACGCATATTTTTATACAATTCTAAATGCATGTGTACAACGCATATGTTTGAATTTCTTCAATCTCCACCTTTATTCTATTATTGATTTATCGTTTTTTCTTCTTTTTGCTCAAGGAGAGAAAAATGGCAATCTCCTTATAAAGAAATAAACATTTTACTTAAACAAGTTCTAAAAGTAGCATAATTAAACTGTTCTTCCTGAAAATTGAATAAATAAAATCAAAACTATTATATTTAATTAATGAACACAACCATTACCCCTTAAATTTAATTATTATTCAGTTTTAACGTGTTTGTATTATCGTATAATATTTCAAATAAGAATTAGGTTCATTATAAATTTGAACTATAAACAAATTTTAGCTGACTTTTATTCTTGTTATTGACAAATAGCATCATGTGATTTTAGATAGGTAATCTCATTTCTTAATTAAAAAATAATTAATTAAAAAAAATTTCCGATTTAAAACGCAAAATCTTAAAATTGAATGGGAAATCCATTGAATATTTTCTAATTCACAAATCTTCTTCACAAACCTACACTTTGTATTTTTAAACCTTTAGTCCCCGAGAATTGTTTGGCCGATTTAGTTTAAGTTATTGATTTTGTCTTTCAAATAACACAGTTCAAAATAAAACTAATGTACACTCTACAATTCGAAGTTTTTTAATCATTCATTCATTATTTAATAATGAAAAAAATCTTAGAATATAAATTATTTTTGAATAAATGATTTTAACAGTTTTGTGACTAAGTGCAAATTGTTTTTAATTCCCTTGAATAGTTCCAGAGATATCTCAAAATATGCCCGAAATAAAATTAACAATAAAACGCCCAAACTTACTAAGTATTGGGAGCATTATTTTCAAATATTGAAGCAGCTGACCATATTTTGTGAGTAAAAAGAAAATTGTCGATTTCTTTTAAAGATAGAGGGAAAGTATGTCTCAGAGTACGATTAAGTAACCTAAAATAACGTCAGCACTGCATAATTAACATAATAAAAGTTTTCGGACTACCCTGCAAACTTTTACTAACTTTTAGCTCATAAAAACAACGGACTTCCCTGAATAACTTTTGATCTAATTATCGGATCTTCTCGTTGTTTTTGGACTCAATCTGAATGGTTCAGAGGGTGACGTCAAATATGCAAATATGCTCGGACGATTTATTACGATTTATGACAAAAACGTAATTTCTCTGAATAAACATACCTATTTTACAACGGATTCGTATTTCTGGCCCCCAAAATATAAGTGGTAACCGCAATCTGGGAAATATGGTCTCCATAGTTTGGAGAGAAGAGCTATCCAAAGTTTGGACCACTTAACGTTGATTTTACTTTTTGCGTATTTCACCATATCTCGAGATTCTCTTAAGCGAATTGAAAAATTTGTGAGAACCGTAAGATTCGTTTATCCAAAAATAATTCAGTGCGAAAAATGAATTTTAGTAAATATTTATTAGTTTTTATTATTTGATTTATTAATAGTCGAAACGACTTTGATTTGTGAGGCATATGATGTTTTATATCATTTTAAAATTATTTAATTTTACATAGAAAAATTCAAAATTTGAACGAAATCGGTTTAATAGTTCCTGAAAAATCGAATTTTAAACATTCGACTTCTTTAAGATTCGATTTCTCAGGAGCTATTCAACTGATTTCGTTCAAATTTTCTATTTTACCATGTAAAAGTAAATACTTCAAAATGGTGTAAAAAATGGTATACCTCACAATTAAAATGGTTTCGACTTTTATTACATGGAATGATTAAAAACTAATAAATATTTACACTAAAATTTATTTTTTGCATGGAATTAATTTTGGATGAATAAATCCTATAAGTGTGTGCAAAATTTTTTTAATTCGCTTAAGAGACTTGTGATATGGTGACATACGAAAAAAGTAAAATTAGCATTAAAGGGCCCCAAGCTTTGAATAGCTGCCCTTACCAAACTATGGTAACCATATTTTCCAGATTGAGGTTACCCCCTTAGATTTTGGGGGTCAGAAATCAGAATCCGTTAAAAAAGAGTATGCCTACTCAAAGAAAGAACACTTTTGTGTCTGAATTCGTGACTTAAAGTATCGTCTGTTCAAAATAATTAGCATATTTGGTGTTACCCCCTTGAACCATTAGGATTGACATCTAAAACGCGAAGATGCGATCATAAGGTCAAAAGTTATTCTGGGTGGTCTATTTTTTTTTTTTTTTTGGGGCACTGTACATTCANTTTTTTTTTTTTTTTTTTTTTTTTTTTTTTGCACTGTATATTAAACTTTGTATAGAAAATCGTTATTATGCGTTTGTTATGTTTAATGTTTCATTTAAATTCTAATTTAGGTCGAATGCCTCCTACGAGGGGAAATAAGTCCAGAATTGGGCCTTTGGAGCAGATTTACAGAGAAATAGCCATTTTAAAGAAGCTTAACCATCCAAATGTCGTTAAGCTTTACGAGGTACTAATTCATAAGATAATATTTTTTGTTTTCAACTAAGACAGAGAATGTTTTTATTGTCTTAATATAATTTTAAAGCAATATTTATTGATTCGTCCAGAGTCCGCCTTAATATTTTTACTCTTTCCTTACTTTTATGTTTCTTCTATTTTTCAGGTACTCGACGATCCCGATGAAGACAACTTATACATGGGTATGGCAGATTTTTTAAATTCAGATATATTATAAATTGTATAAAATAGCTTTTTATTCGTTATTCATTGACCGTACTTTATTAAATTTTATGGATTTCTGTGTGTCAATCATGTGTTCATTATATTATGCTTTGTTTATTTGCAGTTTTTGAACTTGTGCAAAAAGGGTGAGTTTTTTTTTCTAATCATGTAACGCAAAATACATTTTTGCATTAAAAAAAATTTAACTAGTTGAATTTTTGTTTTCTAGACCTGTGATAAATGTGCCTACCGCCAATCCATTACCTGAAATTAAAGCATGGCAATATTTTAGAGACATCGTTATGGGAATAGAGTATCGTAAGTTATTGATTATATTTCGATAAAAAAAAAGATGTTTAAAGTTGCTCAACCCTAGAGCTAAAATAAATGATTTCTGTTGAGAATTTTAATTATCAAATTAAAACAGATAATAGACAAGAACAGTTTTCGACGCAATTTCATACGGAATATCACTCAATAAAATTGCACAAGATAGTTTTTTATTTATTCAACTTTAGTTGTTAATCGTTTTTTCTTTGTAAGTAGAATCGGCTCCTCAAGTTTACGTGATTTTACCACTCTCCACATTTTTCCTCGGTGTTTCCATAGTTTAGACAAATCTTACTTTTTCTGACCGGAGTACATTTTCATAAATAATAATCCCCTGAGTCGCGATGGGGATTATTATACATAAGGGAAGAAGTCTAGCTTCAATTGACATAATGTAAACCAGTCCCCCAAGGTTAGGCGTGGTCCCAGTCTTTAAGGAAAAAAGCAACAATTAGGGCACAATAACAAAAGGGGATAGAGCGTTCGCCTTCCAATGAGGTGAACCGGGGTTCGATCCGGTGATGGCTGATAAATACGAATTCCGCATCCGGCTTGCACGGACCACAGTGTTGATGTGAAATATCCTCAGTGGTAGACGGATCATGGGTTAGAGTCCCCTTGCCCTCAAGCTAACAGTGGGAGGTTCTCGTGGTCTTCCTCTCCATGTAACGCAAATGCTGGTTAGCTCCATCAAAAAGTCCTCCGCGAAGGCAGATATAAACTATAAACTATAGATATAATTCTCCCAATACTCAATCCAGGAGTTTCCTTGTCTTCTGGTTTGGGTTCAAAATTACAAGGCTACGGAGTTGAACATTGGTAGTCGTAAACCCAAAAATTGGGTCGGCTGTTCAACGATGGTAATAAAATAAAATAAATAAATAATTGGGACGGAATTCATCAAGATTTGCGAAACTATGGTAATGAAAAGAGGGACAGTGTGGAGAGTGGGGAAATCGTTTAACCATGAGACCCCTATTCTTTTTTTATAAACAGTATAAAAATCATTGATGCTTGGCTAGTTTGCAGATGCTTGGCTGATCATTGATGCTTGGCTAGTTTGCAGATATATAAAGTGACATCAGTTTAGATTTTATCAGCCTAATATTACCAAAATGTTTTCCTTGTTTATCTACAGTTTAACACAATACAACTTCATCCCTTTCTTGCTCTATCAATCGTTCTTATAATTGATCAGATTCATATTCACATATTTTTGAAGTCATTGCGTAATCAATAAATTTTGTACTAACTTTGTTTGTTAAATAATAATTTCATCAGCTCGTAATTTAAATTTTGTTTGCATATAAGAATTTGGCTGAATTGTTGCTGACAAAAGTTTGGATATTTTATTGATTAAAGAAATTGTATTAAACGCCAATATATATATATTTTTATAATAATACTACTTTTTCCTGAGAATATTATATTAAATTTCTGGTGTCAATACATAAAAAAAATTAAGAATTGACTTTGATCTGATGTTTTTGTTTGTTATATGAGATTTGCATGTATCAACAAAACTGCAACAAGCATAATCTGTATTAATTTTTTTAATATGCGAAGTGAAATTTCTGTTTCAATAAATTTTTTAACTCTGCTGTAAAAATAACTCTACTAATAATACAAAAGTGACACAGGTATTAAACATATTTTTATGACAAATATTTTAAATGAAATAAAATCGTTTTAAAGAGCTGTTCTAAAAACGATTTGAATTTTTTCTGTAAACGAAAAAGAAAATTAACGGTATGATGATAATAATAATATTTATGCTTACATAAAAAAAGGGTTAAAACCGTGGAATTTTTTTTCAGATATAATAAATAAAAAAAATTAATTTTACAATCCATGCAGTTTAAAAGCATTAAGTGAATATTTAATTTAAAAGAATTATTTAAATTACTTGGAAGAGCTTTTTGTTTTGAAACTTATTATTTTCAAAGAAGAGATCTATTAGTATTAATATTTTTTGAATGCGATGCATTAAATAAATATACGATTTTAAATAATCTAAACTATTCAGAAAAGTTATAAAAACTAAGATTACATTTCTAAGCTATCTAAATTCTAATTAAGCTTCATTTAAATGACGGCTTGTTATAATTTTCATTGAAGTATTTTTGCAATATTTATTTTACATATTATCTTAAATACATAACATTTCTTTTTCGTTTTCAGTTCATTTTCAAAAAATAGTTCACAGAGATATAAAACCGTCCAATTTATTGCTGAGTGACGATGACAAAATATTGGTTTGTATATTTCTTTTCACGTTATCTTTCATTTAGTTAAATATATGTTAATGTTTGATTTATATATAGAGAGAGGAGAGTCGGGTAGCCCCTCCCACTTAAGGAGTATTGCTTATATTTCTGTATAATATTGAGTAATAATCAATATTTTTGTATGTTTCTATTGTTTTATCATCTAATTAAATAATGCAAAAAGAATAAACCAAAAAAAGAATAGTTTAACTTAAAAAAATAGAAATTTAAAAAAACATGTTTTTCAGCTCTTTTCAAAATGTGTCGGGTAGCCCCGCCCAGTTACAAAAATTATGTTTTTTGACTGTTTTTTCAGGTGTAAATGAAAATGACCAATGTATTGACAATAGATAAACCTCATTTATCATTTTTATCACAAAATTATTTTATTTATTACATATTTATATACTTTTAGTGAATTCTATCATTTAATAACAATCATTTAATAACAACAATATTTGTTGTTAAAAATGCATATAACATTCAAATTTGAAGCAATAAAATAATAATCTTTGCAACCGTACATTTATCGATGAAATAAAGTTGGACGGTGATACCCGACATTCATGTGAGCGGGACTACCCGAAATCCAATTTTTTTGTAAATTAGTAATTACTCGTACAATTTTTCACGTATAAACTTCTTTCTTCGTGCAAATTAAACTTAAGACTACATACTTTAATGCTGTATGTATAGAAAATTTTTTTTTTAGTATTAAAATGAAGTTTAATAGAAACATTCAACCAATTTCTTTTAATTTCATGACTACTGTATTCAACATATTTTCAAAATGATTGTTTACCATGTTAACAGCTGCATAAATACTTGAAACTTTGAAAATAATCTTTTTTTAATATAACAATTAATGTCCGATGGCCCATTGATTTGAAAAAATATTCTATACATATGAAATTGACTGTGGGTGGAGGTACCCGCTGGGAGGGGCTACCCGACTCTCCCCTATATATAAATATATATACTGGTGTAAAAACTAAGGAGAATCGGCAGACTTGGTTGATTATCTCTAGAACTACTGGACCGATTTTAATGAATATATTCCGATATTTTCACTTTCTTAAATTTAGATATCTGATTTTGGAGTTTGTAATCAATTTGAAGGTGTAGATGCTTTTCTATCTGACACGGCTGGAACACCTGCATTTGTTGCCCCTGAAGTATTAAAAGGTAAGAGTATACCTTTGTTCACTAGTCGAAATAATTTTTAAAAAATAGTGGTTGACATTGATCTAAAATTGTTTAACTTTTAGGTACAAGAGAAGTATACAGTGGAAAGGTTGGTAAAATTTTGTAGTTATTTATGATATTAAATACAGTAAATATGCAAAGAGTCGTTTGCGATTTTGTACAACCTGTTTAATGAAACTCCAGGGTATTACTGTTTAAGAATTTACCCCGTTGTACACTCTAAAAACTGTACCTCTGATTTCAGAGGCAAATTCGGATCATTTATGCCTCAGAATTTAAAGGGCACAACGTATCTTTAAAAATGAAAGGCACAATGTACCTCTGATTTCAGAGTGTGCCTCAGAATTTAAAGGGCACAACGTACCTTTAAAAATGAAAGGCACAATGTAGCTCTGATTTCAGAGGCAATATCAGATTTACTTGAAAGGTACATTGTATTTTCGATTTTGGTTTTATGTACCGCTCATTGAAACAGGCATTTAGAGGTACCAAAACCTGCTATTTACCAGATTTGAACACAATTTTTTTACCTATTTGTAATTTGCTAGCACTTCATATAAAAAGGGACCTTCTATTGGGTTTACACTATTACCAAGATATTAATTATAACAGTTCTTAATGAAAAATATTTCTCAATTCTTTGAATATTGGCCACTTGAAAGGGATCATTTCAAAGGATTCCATCTAAGGCTTTTTCATAGGCAATTATAAAATATGTAAATTTATACCATTCTTTAAATTATGTAGCATTTAATGATACTTCAACAACTACAATGATGCTTTTCTAATCAGATATAGGTACAAAAAGATATTTATTTCTGTTAAGCCAAGTCAATATGGATTTTTCTCAAAATGGAAATTTATTATAAATTTAGATATTTTTTAAATATTTAGAGATTTAATAAAATAGTTTTATGAGAATCAAAATTAAACACTAAATATCATAAAATCTAATATATTTTATTTTCACACATAAAGAAGAATTTTACATAACTTAGTAACAGTTGCAATCGCTGGTTTCTCGTTTTCGTGTTGTTTTTGTGCAGTTTCTAAGTAATGTAAAAAGCTGAAGATCAATAACAGTTGTTTATTGCATAAAATATATTGTAGAAGTTTGAAACCTTTAAATGAAAACAGAGTGACATTAATTCGTGATTAATATTATACATAAAACCACACCAGAGTCATCGGCATTAAATATATCTCGTTGAGCAAATAAGGAATGAACACACTGTCATTATCACTTTATAGCAGCATAGTTTTGTCCCTCTCCATCAAACATAGTTTCTACGGCAAAATTTGATACTGTTGCCAATTTAATGACCTAAAAGAACAGTTGATTTAGCTGATAATTTGCACGGTATATAGAATATTTTTCTCTGTGTGTACTTGTTTTACAGTAAGCAAATTAAAACTGATTCAATTATGAGATTTTTACATATACTGAGATTCAATTTTAATGGTTCTGGGGATAGTTCTGAAATGTGCTAATTAATTAGTGCTTACGATATTTTAAATTAAGAAATCAGGCGGAAACTTGTTTTATTTGAATAAGCACATCTTTTTTATCACAAAGCAATCGAAAATTAGAAAAATGTGGTACTAATAATGCAGTTGCAGAACGATTGAGAGTATTAACCATTTAATACTAATTTTACTTTTTTTTTTATACTTTTACTGTTAAGCTAATTCGAAAAAAATGTTTGCTCACAATTATTTTAAATATCGAAAATTTTAATCTGCCTGAAAGTAATATTTATTCATGGAAAATATAGTTTTTGTCTAATTTCATCACTTAAAATATTGTCTGCCTTAATTAATTAGCAAATTTTAATAATATACTTTCGAACTGTTAAGTACACAGTAGTAAGTAGTACAGTGCGCAAAAATAAATAAATAAATAAGCAGACCACCCTGATTAACTTTGATCTAATGATCGAATCATCACGTTCTAAGACTCAATCTTAATAGTTCAAGGTGGTTCAAGTTCAATATGCTAATTAATTAATTCAGACGATATTATTTAGAAAGCTTTCCAGCTGTTTAAAATCGCAATATATTACTACTCAAAGGGTTCAAAATTTAAGTTTTGTTTTACTTTGTGTCACATTTTATTAAAAAAAACTTGGACATAAAATGTTTAAATTTAATATGAAATACCCTCCTTATATTACAGATAGTGCCATGGTGGCTTAGAGGATAACGCGTTTGCCTTCCAATGAGGGAACCGGGTTCAAATTCCAGCAATGGCTCGTCGATACGAATTCCACTCCCAGGTCGCTCCGACCACACTACTAACGTGAAATATCCTCAGTGGAAAATGGAACATGGATTAGAGTACCCCTTTCCATTAGGCTAATCCTGGGAGGGTTTCGGGGTTTTCTTTTCAGTAAAGCGCAAATGTGGGTTACTTCGATCCAAAATTCCTCAATGAAGGCAAATTTCGCCCAATACTTAATCCAAGACTTTACTTGTTTTATGGATTGGGTTATAAAATTATGGAGTTGTATAAGTAGTCGTATACCCAAAATTGGGTTGCCTGTTCAACGACGGTTATAAAATATATTACAGATAATTGAGTGTATCAAAACTAAAAATACTTTCTACTAAGACTTGAAAATTCACTGTACCACTTTCAGGCTCTGGACATTTGGCAGATGGGAATAAGTTTATATTGCCTTGTTTATGGAGAAGTTCCCTTTCAAGACATAAACATCTTGGCCCTTTACACCAAGATTAAGTCTTCACCTGTTCATTTTCCTGACAAGTATGTACTCGCAAAAATTTGATTTTCCACAATTTGAAATGTCTTTTTTTGTTTTTAATTTTTCTTCAAAATAATGTTAATTTTCGTATTAAATTGTGTACAACTCTTAATTCTATTTTATTTAGAGTTCCAAGAATGGCATAGTTTTTTACGTTTTAAACTTCAAATAATCTTGAAGTTTCACATTTAACTTTCTTTTAGTTTTCTTTTCATAAAAAAAGAGATTGTGTAAGTCAAAAAATATGTAAGTTGAGTGCATGATTTGTGAATCATACCTAAAAATTTAACTCGTCCTCATGTAATCTATCGGATTTTCAATTTTGAAAATGTCAGGACTTTAACTTTATTTTGACCTCTTAAACTAATATTTGTATATTGTACAGCTTTAGGGAAGGAAAGGAATACCGGTAAATCAATTTTACCAGCTCAGTATTTACATTGGTTAAATATTTTTTTTTTCGAAAAGTTTCATATATCAACTACTTCAAGAAATCATTGTAAGCTCTAGTTATGTAAAGAAAACCTTTTTTTAAAAAAATTAACTTTATTGAAAAGGAAATAGTTTGAAATTCGCACTATTATGAAGTATGAATTCTTATGTGGAAATACGGCATCGCAAACCACGTGAAATATTAATAGTGTGTTAAGCTCTAGTGTTCATTGATTAAAGATAATGGTTGTTTGTCCAATATTAATGATCACAACTTTTTAAGTTGACCATAAATAATCATACAACATCTTCTACCATATTTGGATGATTTTTGTTGATCCAACAAAAAAAACATAACATGTTAGCCGTCCATCATGGTAGGGAAAACACATTTTATGTAACATTATATGATCGCTGTTTGTTTAACAGTGATAAATGACTTGCTGCTTGACCATTATAATGGTAAAACAACATCTTGCATCAAAATATGATCGTACGTCCATCAAAAATCAAGCATTACTTGGTGTTTCATCAACGTAGTACTAAAGTAACATTTCCCATTTTTAAAGGATGGAACATAGTTGGATATTGCTAAATGATAGTGACCATTAACACATGTTGGATCATCAAGAATTTGAAACTAAAATAAATCATCAAATTTCTTTGATGACATCATGAAGAATTTTGCTCTGGGATAGACTTAGCCTTCACAGAATATCACTTCTTTTTAAATTTGGACAACTTTATAATAAGGAAATTAGATTTAATTCAGAAAATGATGTAAAACTGGTCTTCCGAAAATTCTTTGATTCTCGTCTGCCTGGTTTTATCACATTTGTTAGAACAACTGTTGCTTGTATGGCAATAGGGTAAAGAAACTAGGGTTGCACACCTTGATGAATTAATTAGTAAGCTTTCAACCAACTCTGTCTTTTTATCACAAATAGCATACCTTATGACTTCAGAAAAAGTTTAAAATCTATGTATCATTCTCAGAAAAAGCGAAAATTTTACTGATTATTTTTTTTCTTCAAATAATCAATTCTTAAACTATGCTTCAATTTAATTAATAAGGGAACTGTTAAGGAATGACACTATTATAGTGGTTGAGATTGTAAATACGAACATAAGATAACATTGAGTCTTGACCTATCCGTCATTTTTATCGCGATCTTTGCAGAAACGAATGAAACTGGTATTGTTGGGGCATTATAACTAGTTAAAATTTTGATCAGTGATAAATTCTTTTGACCTTCATTTACCAAATTCTAATTGTGGCTATTAGAAAGTGAACCTTGAATTGTTATCAGGTGTAAAGATGCAGTTACAGTTGTAGTCGTCCAATTGTTTGCAAATGGTTGTTGTCGTAGAAATAAATAAACAATTTTGCATTAAATTAAAAATTTTCACAAATTTTTAAATATATCAAAAACAAATCAAATTTCAAAAGTTTAGTTTTTAAAAAAAAAATTTATATTTTAGATCACTTTTAGTATATTATCACTTTTATTTTTAAAAGAAAATTTTAAAAAAAATTGACGGAATTTACAAAAATAAATAGTGAACTCATGAAAGGCACTTAAAAAAGGGACTTCTTAAAGCATTTTTATTTCTTTTTTTTTTAATATCAAGGTCAATTTATTCATAATGTATAATTTGATTTCACAGATACAATGTAAGTGACAGTCTTAAAGACCTACTAAGTCAGATGCTTGAAAAAGACCCTAAACAAAGGATAAAATTGAAAGGAATAAAGGTGAGGAAGACTTTTTTTTAGCTATGAAATTCGTTTTCTACATATTTGCATCGTCACATAGTAAGCAAGATTTGCACGAACTAGTTAAAATTAATTTGCAAGAATTACACTATAGTAAAATTAAGTACTTGCATTATTTATATATTAGTTATTTGTAGATTTTATTATGTGTAGATTCATTATCTGTAGATATAATGATAAGGAACGGAAATAATTTATCGCACCTTTACGGGATGATGAAACTTAGCTTATCAATAGAACAAATATAAAATCCACTTTAATTTGTTTAGGAAAACATTTCACAGCACGAACAGAAGAAAAAAAACGTAAAAAATTTTTAATCTAATGATTTAAGTGCTGAATTCAAAACTTAAGGACTTAAGAAATACCCCTGAAACGCTCAAGTTAATTCTAAGATCTGTTATAGAGAGATTTGGGAATATTGATTAACGAAGCCTTCACAAATTGAATCCTTGACGTCTTAAACGGAGTCGATGACGTCATTGACTTATTCCAAATGCTATTGTATCTATATGTTTCTATTGCGATCATTACCAAAGTAAAAAAGTAAGTTTAAAACAAGTTTAAAATATAAAAAAAAATTTACTTTCGTACGATGGTAACTGTTGCGATGATACAATAGTACATGTGATAAATTACAAGTCATGTTTCAATTTGTTGGGACGTAAATAGTGCAATATATTTTCACAAAATCATAATAAACAGGACCTTGGCAAAAGGAACATCAAGTTTTAATTTTAGATTCACAAAAAAATTAAATAGATTTTTTTCAAACTCTCTAAATCGGGACCTTTTTACAAAAACTCTGAACAGACACTTAAGTGATTAGAGCAAAAAATTAAGTTACAAAATCAGGCTAAAAAACGTACGTTCGATAATCAGATATTTTTTATAGGGTATTAGCTCTAAATTTTTATAATTATAATAGTTTGCCAGAAAAACAGATAGTTTCTCATAATTTCGAATACAAAAATAAGTAACTGGATCATTGCCTTTTTCTATGATATATAATGATCCAAAACCATTACTGAATTTTTAGTTGCAAAAGATATTAAATTAAATCGAATGCTGCTCAGCTCTATGATTTGGAATAGTTACAGAGAATTAATTCAAAAACACACTGTAATTCCTCCATTTATAACAAGTGTTATTAAATGAAAATAAATTTTACAAAATAAAAGAAAAACTGCTATACAAGTACATTTTTTTCATATTTCTCCTGAAATACTTGACGAAATATTTTGTATTTTCAGAACTGCTTAGATATTTCGATTTCGCATACATATCAATGAAGTTTAAAGTTTTTAGAGGTATGAGGGACTGACTATAAATTAACAACGGAAAATAATGTTTTTGAACACCCAATGCCAAAAAAATGTAGTAATAATTTTCTAATTTCTGACAGTTATTTTGTTTATTATATGGCAATAATTACACAGAATTTCGTGAGCCTAGCTTAAAGATTCATGAAGATATGGACATTTTTTTTCCAAAAATAATTTTTTTGTTTTATGTTTTTGTCTAATTTTAAAAATATTCAATAAAATTAAATAAATTTTTTAGAGTATTTTAAGATAATTAAAAATTTTTGCTTTGCAATTTAAATTTTTTTTCTTTATTTTGTTGTGAATCGTATTTGGCAACTAATCAAAATGAAAATTTAAAAAGTTACAAACAATTCTCAAAGTATTTTTCGTACTTTTGAAAAGAAAGCTCAAAATGATAAGGATTTTTTTACCAATATTATTTTGTATCGTAAGGCAGAATTTAATAACAAATGATAATACCTTACAATAAATGTTCATACACCATAATATGTTTTAGTAAGGAAAAAAAATTGATGAAAAAAAAGATACTTTTATGGGGGATGATCCCCAAGAATGCCGGGGTCGTTTTTAATGAATCTTATTTAATAGTACAAAATGAAATATATATGGAAAACCCGTTTTAATTTTAAACATCTTATCTTTTTTTTAACAAAAAGTTAAAAAAAACTACTTGGAAAATTGTTTGAAACTTTTTAAAATTTTAAGATACTGAAATCGGACTTTTTCATTAGTTGTCAAATACGATTTTCTACAAAATAATAAATAAGTTAGTAGTTCTTTTATATTGCTCTTTCCACGCATGAGCAGTATAAAAGAACTACTTTAATTAATTATATCTTAACTAGGAGGCTTCGCCCCCTGCCCGCTTGCGCTCGCCAACCTCCGGAACTGCTTTCGCAGTTCATTTAGGATTGCTTCGCAATCCGATGCTCGCTCATTGGATACGTTCTTAACGTCTAGCTTTGGTATACTTTTTTGAACACTGAAATTCCGAAAACTTTTCATTGTAGAAAATTCTAATTTTTTCATTTTAATCTTCATTCTAATCTTCATTCTAATCTTTCATTCTAATCTTTGCATTTCAATGTTAATTTGAAATTGCAAACAGTTCGCATATTTTTCTTAATCACATTATTCTAAATTCCAGTTGTTGAGAAAAGTAACTTTTGTAAGTTTTGTTTTAAAGTCTTTCCCACCAGAGGGCTAAGACCATGTGTTGTAAAACAATATGAAATAGTACTGAACGCCGAATGTGAAGCATCGGCTTCAATGAAGATAATTTTGTGAGAATTTTTTTGATAATTCGGTGAGAATTCACCTGATTAGACATATGATGCTCACTACGTGCTCTTGCGCTCCGAATCCTATCAATTAAAAATGAAAACTGTTCCCAACGCGAGAAAAGAAATATAATCGGTTTTATTGATACATACGTATTAGCGTTTTATATAATATAGATAGATTACATATTTTGGACTAATTTTTCTCAGATTTTAATTTAAAAAAATTTATAATTAATTTTAAAATGTTCTTAAAATTTTGTTTAATTTTTAGTTTAGTAAAATTGTGTTTGTTAGAATATTTTTAAAGCTGTAGAAAAAGAATGTAAGACAAAGAAATTAATTTTTAACAAAAATGTCCATATCTCTATAAATATTAAAGCTAGGTTTACAAAATTTTGTGCAATTTTTGCACATGATAACCAGAATAGTTGTTACAAGTTACAAATCTTTGTTACAATTTTTGGCATAAAGTGATCAAAAGCGTTATTTTCCGTTTGTAATTTATTGTCGGTCCCTAAAGCCTCTAAAAGCTTTGAACTTCATTGATAAGTATGAGAACTCACATGATGTAAATACCTCTGAAGTTATAAAATGATTCCTTGAGTATTTCTTTAGAAATATGAAAATAATCTCATGAAATATTCTCATGAATAGTATAGAAGATTTCCCATCATTTTATCCCCCCCCCTCCCTGTGCACTGGATTACAACTATGTTTTTTTTTTTTTTACTTTAGGAGCACAAATGGATAACACAAAATGGTTTAAGTCTTCTGCCCAATGAAGAAGAAAACTGCCGACAGATTGAAATTACTCAAGAAGATATTCAGAAGTCTATTCAGTGTATTCCTAAACTGGGAACTTTGGTAAGACAAATATTAATAATATTTTGTAATTCATAAGCAATAATCATTACTTTACACTGTACTTATTATTGTGTTCACCTTCTTTTGAAATAACCATTATACTCGAATGTTTTTTCCTTCCTGGGTTCTTCTGCACCTGCATGTAAAGGTTCAATCTTAAGTATTTGTGGAAACGATTGAAAAGGGATTGCATTGGAAGTATATATTTATAATGAAGTGAAAAAATATAATTTTAACTAAATCAATTTAAAGCAGTTGATGTAATCATGCTATCTAAATTAGATGTTCAGCACTAATTCTATGAATTGGTCATTCAGCTTCAATTAAGAGGTGCAGGAAAAATAATGTAAATCCTGTCCAACTTGAAAACAATGTGCTCAATAAATAAATGCATGTATCAATGAATTGATTCGCTCACTATTAGATAAATAAATGAAGCGATAGAGTAGCGAATCGATGAATTGGCATAAAATGAGCGGTTCCATCAGTTAATTATCAAGTCATTGTAGGAATGAACCAACTCTTTTTAAAATTTATAAAATGGCTTATTCATCGGTTCGCTAATTTACTTATATTATTGATTTGCTGATTCATTCATTTTCGTTTAGGCCACTCTGATTTTAAAATCCATTTTTCAAATTATATCACGTGAAAGTATATATCATTTTATAAAACAATTCTCTGTGTTTAAGCTGAATTTACAATTTAGGCCTAATGAGGACAAGTAATGAGTGACTTGTAATGCCGATTACTTGTTCTACTAAAAGCTAACTGTACATTAATAATACTCGTAGTTACGATTATAATTACTTAAAAAGCAAATCGATAATATTCAAATCGGTGTTATACCATAGACTCTCGGTGGCTATGGTTATACCCTGTTTGATGGTGTAATGACAGGTTAGGTCTCTGATGAATATGCTTATCCCACTGAGTATATGAACAAAGGTAAGGATTAAAAAAAAAACCTTATCTTATTAGTTCGCGAAGGTTAACTCAAATATGCCGATTAAACAGTACATAGGATATTTTAATTTACGAAATCAATTACAAAAATTTAATTGTTCTGAATAAACACGCATTTTTTTTCTTCAATGGATTCGAACTCTCGACCCACAAAATATGGGTGGTAGTCAAAATCAGGAAAATTGTAGTCCCCATGCTTTGGTCAGGACTAACGAAATGCGTTTATGAAAGATAATTCCATGCAAAAACAAGTTTTAAATGGTATTTTTTATTATTATATTTAATAGTGGTCGAAACATTTCTGAATTGTGTGAATTACTTAATTTTCAAGAATGTAGTTTTTTTTATCGCCAAACACAAATATCGAATGCCATCGGTCAAATAGTTCGTGAGAAATGAAATTAAATATACGACTTTTTCAAAAAAGTTGATATCTTAAAGCAGTGATTCTCAACAACTGTGCCGCGGCACTTTTGTGTGCTGCCGAATATTAGAAATGGTACAATAAAAATTTTAATCCTTTTTTTTAGAAAACTCAATGACTATTAAAATTATTAATTAACAAAAGAAAGAAAGCTAAATATTAACTTTCAAACGGAAATAAAAGCTAATCATTATAGTAAGCTATGCAATTTATAATTCTAAAAGCAAATTAACAAAGGATAACTAACAAAAAATAAGCTAACAATTAATAATTAGCAATAATACTAATTAACAAGAAATCGCAAAAAATAATAATTAATGTAAAAAACTAACAGTTAATAACAATAGAAAACAAGCTAACAATTAATAACTAGTAAAAAAAATAAATAACTGTTACTAACCAATTAAAAACTAATCGAAAGAAATAATTAATCCCAAAATAAACGTGCTTTTGTAGTACATATTATTTTATTTCACATTCAAAATTATTATCACAAACAATTTAACACAGTGTGTTATAGGTAAGAAAACAACTTTTAAACTAATTTTTTTCATTGTATGCCGTCAAATTTCGAAATCGTTAAAATTTTGCCGCCGCCAAAAAAAGGTTGAGAATCAATGTCTTACTTAAAGGCTATTCGACGTATTGCTCTGAAATTTCGTACTTTGCCGTTGAAAATTACTTAGTTTAAAATTAAACATTTGTATATCAAACAAATCAAAAAATTTTCCACTACTACTAAATAACATGATAAAAACTATATTTATTAAAAGTTCTTTTTTGTAAGAAATTATCTTTGAATAAATGAAACTAATGCGTGCAAAAAAAGATTTCAATTCACAAGCAAAGTTCTAAAGACATGTAATAAAATTCCATATCTTTAGAGCTTTGATCGAAATTCGCAAAAAGAAACCTTAGCGTAAAGCAGTCCAAACTTTCGATTTTCCAAATTGCGGCTGCACCCACCCCCCAAACTTAAGGGTCAAGAATCTGCTAACAATTGGTTTGTTTAATCTGAAAAGTACGTTCTGTGTATGATTTCGTAATTTAAACTATAGTCTGCTCTAGTCATTTAGTATACTTAATTGATAGAAGGTGAGCCCTTCGATTCATTAAGATTGAGTCTAAGCACATGAAAATTTGATCATTAGGAGAAAAGGTTATCTAGGGTATTCAGTTTTTTCATTTTTTATTTTGTGAACTGTGCATAAAAAAGAGATACAAAATTCCTACTAGTAACATCTGTGAAAGAAAGTAATTGCGAAATATTTTTGATGGATTCAAAGAGTAAATACAAGTTTTTTTTAAAATTTATGAAGTTAAACAGAATGAGATTCACAGGGATTACTTGCTATTTAGAAACAACTAGTCCAACACAAAAGATTTTCAATCCAAAACTAATTAGTAGTAGAGCTTCAATACGTCCAAACTTCAGTGACTGAATTCCATTTACGCGGTAGTCAAAACAATTTAGGTATTTACTAGCACAATTTAGTGACAAAGAGAACTGTTGGAGAAATTTTCTGCAGAAAGGAAATGTCCACCCGGACTGTCATGGCACTGATGTGATACGTTCTATAAATTAGCAATGATAATTATTGATGAAAAATGCTCCATGTGTTATATTTTACTGAATAAATAAAATTATACTTATTCACACCTGCTAAACCCTGTAATATGATAGTGTTACAATTTTGTATTTTCAAGACTAGTATACTGTCGTGCAATTGAAAAAACAATGTAAGTGCTTCACGATTGATTCCGAGAAAAGTGGCTTGACAACTTTTTCCTTCTATTGATTATGCTATAAACGCTAAAATAAAAATTTAAAAAACTCATGAAACAAAATTTATTTTTGAAAAAGTATTTTTTTTGCAGCATGTAGTCTACCATACAAAGATACAATTTATATAAAAAATCTAAATTTTGAATTTTTTGTCTCTTACGTTGATTTTTCGGAATATAAAAAAAAAAAGATATGTTAAAATTTTGCGCAGCGTAAAAATAAATACCTATATCATTGAATAATTATTTTGTATCTAATGAACTTTTTTTTTCTGCAAAATTATGTTAACTATGTTTCACATGGAAACCACTGAAGTGTTGAAAGGCGAACTAGTCTTACTGACATGACAATTTTTAAATATGAAAACTTCCAACAGTTAATTCTATAGTAATCAGATCTATCCTCTTAAACATCTAAAGTTGGCAATATTTTAGTTCAGCAATGTTAAAAAGACTAGTTCCTGAGAAGTACACGATCATACCAGCCATGGCCTGGATTTAAACCCTGGTCACTTGTATATTAGCGTTATATTACTTCACATGTTGGGATTTACGTTATTTTTATAGTTAAATAAAAATTGTATGATACCAGCATAATAATTTTAACATGTAGTTTAATTCCTCAAATTATGTAGATTTTTTTTATTGTATTTGCTGAAGATTAGATAATTATGTGTTTTAATAAAAAAGAAATTTCTATAACTCCTTATGATGTCACAATAGGCATTACATATTTTCTAGCTTTTAAAATTACTTTAATTTCATAAATTTATTTATTTTTAATCATTCCTAATCTAATTTTAATTCATTTAAACCAAATATTTAATTTTTATTACATTTTATAATAAACTAATACAAATATTTTATTCTCTTCTTAACACTCTATGTAACGGCTAATTTTTTAATACAAATGTAAAGCTCATTAAATCACTGCCACGACTAAATCGAAAACAAAATCTATTTGTAACTCTTAATTCTATATTTCTCTAACCACAAAAATGTTTCAGTTACAAGGTTATACTAATTCTCACTATCCTTTTTGGCGATTAGCAATAGCCAAATTATTTTAAATTCAACATTGATTACGGGGATTGGTTTTGTTTTCGGCTATTTTATCTTTTAATAAATCGCCAACCATGCATCTCTTCCCCTGCTTCGAACTGTCTGTTGCGAACAATTCAATCACTTTTAAAATGTGGCTGGTCACGGGAAATTTCTCATGGCTTGTTCTCACTGATATTATTATTATATCACTTAAAATGTATTTTTTATAAAATATTCTTTAGTTTTGCGTCTCGTGCTCTACAATTGTTACCGAGTAAAAATTTATTATGATCCTGATTTCATCTTCAATTATACCATACAACTATAACCACGCCAAATTCCATCATTATACTCCCTAACGATGCATGAGGTCTTACTCTCCAAAAGACAACTTTTTGATATTATTGAATGATTCTTAGATCATATTGTGCAGTAAAAGATAAAAAAATAAAGAATATTTTTACTTGTGTTTCAGATCCTGGTGAAAAGCATGTTGAAGAAGCATTCATTCAGCAATCCTTTCAAATTCAGCAATGCATGCAGCAAGAAACTTTCTCCTCTCTCAACCGCACAAGCTTCTTCATCTGAATCGCTCCTCGAGAAGTACGTTTCTTAAACAATATGAATGTTTTGGCATAATTTTTACTGAATTTTGCAATACTCATGTTATAAAAAATTACTAATTAAGTTGAAATTTATATAAATGACAAAGATACGGTGAATATTGCAAATTTCATATAACATATAGACAATCACTATAGAGTTTCAGTTTATTTGGCAAATCGTATATTCTAAATTGCCAACATCTGTAAAGACTTCTGAAAGCTTAAATCCCTTGTTTATAATGCAGAACTAAACATTTCCCTTCACTTATATTAGCAAAATTTCCATACATTCATGTAAAAATCAAAACATACAGCGTACATAATACTGGGGAACAAATTCCTTGCTGCCTAATTCAGGTGTAAGGATTTTAAATATGAAATTAATTTCTCTCCTAAGGCAACAGGTCTGTCTTAAAAGAACATTTTTTATCTATTTTTTGTCGAAATGTGCAAGTTTAAAAGGTCCCATTAGATTAACAAGGGTCCCATAAATGTTGCAACGAACTTCTAGGAGAGTTTGGGCTCATCAGGATTAAAATTGAATAGGAACCCAACCACAAATGTCACCGTACACATTTAGGAGTGTTTCCCTATTATGACCTGCTTAGAAGCACAATAGGGAAACGCCCGTAACGGCGTACGGCTACATTTCCGAGCATGTGTTCCTGATAATGTGATGTGCCCTAACTCTCCCAGAAGCTTTTTGAAACATTTATGTGACTTCCCTTGTTATACATAACGTTTTTAAACTTACACATTTTGACAAAGAATAGACTAAAAATGTCATTTTAAGAAAAAAGAAATCTGTAGCTTGGTGAGCGAAACAGTTTGCAGAAAGTCAGTCATACAAAAGTATTTAAGATCAGCAATATGACTCTTGCAACAGAAAAAAAAACGTTCCCAAATGTTTTAATTTTAAGCTAATTATACTTGAACACATAAATTTAATAAAACATTTATGCCCAATGCAATTTATGTACACAGTTTTTGTTTAAATGGGTCAATTGAATCGTAAAGAAACCAGTCTTATCTTTGAATTTATGGCATAAAATTTCGGTGTAAAAGATTTTTTTTAAAGAGTTCTATAAAAACGGTTTTGTGAACTGCTTACTCGTGATTGTTTCTAATTTAAAGCTGTTTTCTTTTCAGGCAATAAAAACAAATCCTTCATCTGTAAGTTATCAAAGAGTTGGCCAAAGGCATTGTCATAAAGATAAAAATTTCCAAAAAGTATTTATCTTAGTATGCATAATTCTATAAAGGATCTACACTACGCCTCGTGAAGCCTTGCTTTTTAATTATTATACATTTAGTATTTATTACTACAAAAACAAAACTTATTACATCTTTTGCCTCCAAATATGAGTATAATGCATTTTTTTATATTTCAGGAAAGTGTTACCTGCCTTACTTGAAATAAATTCAGTTAGCATAGAAGACCAATAACATATGCTGTTTTCTTCAAAGCATTTCTAACGTTTCTATGTATATAAAATCTTCTGATATTCTGTATCTATTTGTACATACATTTCGAATACTTTAAAATTAATATTCTCAAACTTTAACTTGGCTTTCTACATTTAAATACTTCTTCTGAATGCTCTTCTCTGAAAATACTATATTTATTCTTGTTCTATTTTGATAAATATTTTCACATGTTTTTGAGTATGTTTCATTCTTTAATTCCATTGCATTTCAAACTATTTGCATGCAAAATCTGCAGTTTAAAATGGGATGTACAGTGCGCAAAAAATAAATGATCCACCCTGAATAACTTATGATCTAATGTAGCATCTTCACGTTCTAGGAATCAATCTTAATGGTTCGAGAGGGGGATCTAAAATAGGCTAATTAATAAGTGCTGACGATATCATACACAAAAACTTACTTTGAGTGAATAAAGTACCTATTTTCGACGTACTAGGATCTGGGAAATATAGTCAGGAGAGTGATCCAGAATTTGGACTCCTTACTGCCAGTTTTATTTTTTGCTTATTTCGCCAAATCTCGAGAACTTCTAAAGCGAATAGAAAATTTTTTGATCACATTTATCTTTGGACAAACTAATTTTATAATTGTGGGCAAAAATGTTTCAATTCACGTAAAAAGCTTTCGAGATATTTTGAAATACGCTAAAAGTAAAGTTACCGTGAAGGGGACCAAACTCTGGACCGCTCTAACTATTAGGAATATTATTTCCTATATTGCGACTACCCCTTTATATTGGGGATCGGAATATCCGAATCCGTTGGGGAAGTTTATTTATTCAGAGATAGTTTTATTGGGGATGTTTATTTATTTATAAATGTTTATTCAGAGAAAATACGTTTTTTTGTTTGATTGTGTAACTTAAAATATGGTCTGCACTAATTAATTAGCATATTTGAAATCACCCTCTTGAACCATTAAGTTTGAGTCATAGAACGTGATCAAAGGTCACATTGGTAGATTTACAGTATATATACAGACTTTCCTCACTACCATTGGGTGTAGTTAGGGCATACATATATGCTGTAAATCTACCAGTGACAATATGTATTTAACATATTGTCATTTCTTTAAATAAATTTTCAACAGTAAGAAATACTTTGAAGACTAAAATAAAATGCACCGGAAAGAAAATTTTGAACTAAACGGTTGTACGTGTAACAAATTGCACTGCAGTTCAAAACTAGCAGAATTATTAGACTAAATATATCCAGATCCACTGAATCGATTTAAATTTCAGTATGAGAAAAAGGTTTTATAATACAAACGACATATCGAATCAACAGTTATAAATCGCCCGCACGCACGGAGGGTCATACATGCGTAATGATTGGTGAAGTCCGAAAACATAAAATAGTGATTGCAGAATAAAAAAAATTAAAAATTAAAAAAAAAGATGTTGCTTAAGTTCAGCAAGCAATGCCCTCTGCATAAACCTGTTTGCTACGCTTAGTCAATATTTTTGGTTACATCTAGACAAAGCCAACTCTTGAAGTGAAATACGTATTTGCTTTAAAATTGTAAAATATGATCTACCATGATTAAAAATTCTTTGTGTCTTTTTAATTTACCTTTAGAAATTCCTAGAAGAATTTAAAACATACACTATTAATATTTTCATAAATTAGATACGTTATTCTTAAAGATCACGCATTGTTATTTCTCTATTCCAGCAAGAAAAACATTTAAAGTAACAAATAGAATTTGAAACAATAGTGTTTTATTTAATAATTACTATTTTATTGCAGCGCTTCAAAGTTTTTTCGACACTGAAACCTTAAATGATCAATTTTTTTTCAACGGAACCCTGACTTTATTAAAAAAAGTATATAAGGATAGTTGTTAACGCATTCAACAATAATAAAGTTTTTTATTAATACGAGTTCACAGTGCTGACGTTAAATATCCTGAGTGGTAAACGGATCTTGGTTTAGAGATCCGTCAAGTTATCTGTGAGAAGTTTTCGCGGTTTTCTTCTCCGTGTAATGAAAATACTGTTAGTTTCCATCAAAAAGCCCTCCGCGAAGGCAAATCAAGTGTACAGTTCGAAACCCAACGATGGGTGATCGAAACGAATTCTGCACCCGGTTCGCACCGACAACAATGTTGACAGAGAATATCCTCAGTGGTTGACGGATCATGAGTTTGAGTCCCCTTGCCATCAGGTTAACCGTGGTCGATTTTTGTGATTTCCCTCTCCATGTAACTCAAATGAGGTTTAGTTCCATCAAAAAGTTCTCCAAGAAAGCTAATTTCTCCCGAAATTTGATCCAGGAGTTCCCTTGTCTTTTGGAAAAGGTTCAAAATTACTAGACTACGGGGTAGAACGTTGATAGTCATAAACTAAGAACTCGGTCGACTGTTCAGCGCCGGTTATTAAAAAAAATATGAAAGTAGGATCTATACTAATAACAAATAAATATAAAATTTATATGAAGTTAATACATTCGTAACATTGAAAAATAAGAATAACGTTTTATAACCCTTCTAATTAGTAAAAAAGAATATTAAAACTACATATTTTCAAGATAAAATAAATAAATAAATAGGCCCCAAAAATTTAGAAATTAAAAAATTCGGCAATAATTAAATTCGGCAATTAAAAATACATTTTAAATATATAAGAAAACTTACATTAATTGTATATAAGAGCGTTTCCAATGTATATTCATGACAATCCGAAATCACATGAATTATTTCAGAACTCGCATTAGGCTATAAAATAAATTAAAGACAAATGAATTTTTCTCATCGTTTTGTTATTAATTATCTTAAATTAGATTTTATGTCTTACAACTAAATTCACAGTCATAGAGCTCTTTGTCTAGTTCAGTACTGAATTTGTTTCGTGGTGTATATAAATTTAATGAGCCGAATGACGGTTTTCTTTGAAATGAAAGCTAATAAGAACTGCTATAAACGATGAAATTGGTTATTAAGGAAACATATTGTTTTTTTATTAGCAAATTTAGTTTGATTAAAATAGCCCGACCGGAAATACGAATGCAGTTCTTTTAAATAAATGTCTTTTGCAGAATCTGTTTCAATATATTATTTAAAAATTATGTATTTTTCATTTAAAAAAGGTGATATTTCATTTTTGGCATTTTAGTTTAAATAATTTCATAAAAACAGCCAAAAGAATAAATAAATAATGGTTTATTGATTAGATTTAAATGCAATTTAAAGTTCAAAATTTATTGCGGGTTGAAATAAAAAGTCTTAACTTTTGGAACCCCTTAAACTCATCCACGGAACCCAAAGGTTCCGCTAAGCACCATTTGGAACTGCTACTTTATTGTAATAAATTTTGCATTTCTACTAGCTAACATCTTAAATATACATTTAAAAAAATACTCTTTTCGAGTTCAATATAAATATATATATAAAAGTTGAATTCCTGAAAATGATTTTATAAATATTTTGTTACCAGGACAACTACAACGCATTTTTTAATGTCAAAAAATAAAATGTTCTGTAACACAAAGTTTTTTTAAAATTAATTCATTTATTTTAGGTTAGTAGCGCCTCTTGAATTACTGTAATTGAGACGTTAAAACATATTAAATGTAAGTCATGAGCAAAACGGAACGGTAAAAGCTACATGGACTATTGACCTTGGCCTGACGTAAACGAATGAAAAATAATTAAATATTAAAAAAACGTGTAATTAACTGCTTTTTTAAAAAAAAAATTAGATACCCGCAAGTGACGTCATCGTTGATATATCGTTGCATTTGTCGATTCAGAAACCAATCAGGTTTGATACACACGCGTGTTGTCGCTTACAGGTATCCAATTAAATCTGATTTAAATCACGTGGTTAGTCCTAATCACTTCACCTCGCAGTAAGTACCCAATTAAATATATTTGTAAGCAGGCAAATATCATTGGCATTATCTTTTAGAAATATTTGGAAGGAAAAAAAAATGTTCTTTTACAGTTTAATTTATGAAAATGACTAAACAATGAGAAAATTAAGTTTTTTAGATTTTTCTTTCAAACGATCTATTTAAAAAATTTTAATGACTTATAGGAACGAAATTTCATCACAATAGCACTAACATTTACGAACTTGTTCGAGAAACTGACACAAACTCGCCCTATTACACCGGAATTTATGTAAGTACTTGATCTTATCTAATTCGGATGTGAGGATTTGAAATCTGAAATTAGTTTTCTACGGAGAGATAAAAATATTTTTAGAAGATTTCTTTTTTTAGTTCAGTTTTTGTCTGAATGTATAAGTTTTTAAAGAACGTATAGGTTTATAAGATATACACGCTAACTTGTCTGCTCCATTGAAAAAAGCATTCAAGACAAAATAATGTATGACCTTAACGTATTGCATCATTAACTGAAATGTTTTATAACTTTCTATCTAATACTTCCTACGTAGGAAAGAAGTAGGGATACTTAGTATTTACTCGAGTGAATTTTTAAAAAAATTGGTGAGAAATATATTGAAATGGATAAACACGGTAGCTTCTTGAGAGAAAACTATTTTTGAAATTATTAGTTGTTGAAATTTTTGATTGTTGAAATTATTGATTGTATAAAATATTCAAGAAGCTTTTGAGAAATAAGGAAGTGTACGATTTAAAAGAAACCAATCGATAAATGCTTAGTGTTAAGAATACGTAGGTATAGGTAACAAGTATTTTTCAGTTAGTATTTGTGTTTTCGTATAAGGACTTAAAAAGCATAACTGACTTCCTACTTCCATTTATTTATCGATTTTAATTTCGTGAACAGTTTATTATAAAATTAGTGTTGTAATTTTTTATTTAAAAAGTCTAAAATATTGCATACTATATGAATATGCAGAAGTGGTAAGCAATCATTTTAAGGGCGGAAAAATGCTGGCGTACTCCTTTTGTGAGTAAATGAATAGCAATATAATGAATTCTAGTGCTACTAAAATTAAATTTCCTATCTGGCAAATAGGAATTTAAGAGGAAATTAATAAAAATTAAATTTGAAATAAGGTAAATATGAGTTAAAAGAAAACTAATAATTGTGAAAAATTATCTTTGTGATATTTTTATAAAATTATAATTGATTCAAAAATATCACAAAGGAAATTTCATATTAATACTCTTTTATTAAGTAAATATAGGGAAATTCTTTATTTTTCATTGTAGAATAAAGAACGATAGCAAAACTTTTGTG